ATTAAAATGCATATGTAGTAGATAATCTAAGCACACCAAGAGCTGGGTATCCTGCTGTCTTTGGCACACAGGCAGAACAACAGGCAGAACTCCAGGTGTGGCTGACAGAGCTTGGACTTCCTTCTGCTGCATTGGCACCTACTTAGCCAGATAAAATATCTTTTGGCTCATCTGTATATGTGATTCTGGCCACTTTTAACTGCTATTTACAGTGTATAAATCAAAGAAGAAGAGAGACTACTTGTTTAGAAGAAATATCAGCAGAATTAACAAAATAGAAGAAGCAGCTGACCTATATTTCAGGGACTGGAACATGTCTGTAATGCAGGTGAAAAACATATTCCAACTCCTCTTTAAGTTGTACACCATCCAAATCTATTTGGCATGAAGAAGTTACCTGTTTGTAGTTAAAAAATTGCTTCTGTATATTTTTTATTAATCTAGTTTCTCCAGTGCTAAGACAACTGATAGCAACACAACCTTGCATTAATTATTGCAATTCTCTCTCCAGAATGGTGTCCTATAAAAAAGGAAATCTGAAAAAAGATGTTTTCTGTTTACAAGAAAAACAAAAAGCTAAAGGAAGAAATCTTTTTTTTCATAGTATTGCAAAGGACAATCAAACAATTAAGAAGAAAATGTTAAAAATATCTTTTGAGAAAATATGTTTTCCTGGTTTACATGAAAGGAGAAAGAATTGAGAATAAAAAGAATAGGTGGCATTCATAAAACAGCTGGAGCTCTATTTTTTTTTCCAGCCTTGAAAACAGTAAACATTCAATAATAATTCAAGCCTAGTGGTAAATTATTTTTAAGTTGAAATTTTTATCTATTTTCATTTTTAATGTTTGTCAGAAATAAAATTCTTAACGAAATTTATATTCTATATGGAAGAAAAAAGATAATAATTCTCCTGAAAAAATAAGTTTACTAGATGTTTTTAACTATGCAGTTCATATATTCATATACTCACATATTATACGGATTATAAGGATGAGGCGTTTTAAAATTTTTCAGTTTCTTACCCTACAGAATGCTTGTTGTTGCAGTCTCCGTTTGAATCATGGTTTTATCTCACAGCAATATCAATAAACTCCATCCACAATTTTTTTCTTATAATACCCTGTCTTTCTGCTGCATTTTACCTACACCAAAACCTGGGACTTTACAGTTCACCTCACACAAGAAGTCTAATACTGATCTTATTAATAAGAAATATAGTTATCATTTGCTGTATTGTCTGATGTCTGACTATTAGTCTTGTCTCTTTTTTGTACATTACCTTAGTGCTTTACCAAAACAGTGACTGTCTGTTAATAAATACCACTCCTTAGAACTGTAGGATGTGAAGTCCAAAAGCACATGGCTTAGCAGCTCCCAATTAATTTTGTAGGGAGAATGACATTATTGTTACAAATGAATTAGGTAAAATAAAATGTGATGTACTGAAACATGGTGAATAGTAAATATACCAGACAGCATTTGTAATAATGTGAATAATTTTTAAAGAAAAGAGATTAGACAGTGAGTTTGCTAGTGATCCTGATGAAGAATTTCCAGCTTTGTCTTGAATACGCTCAGATGCCATTTCAGTGGAACATCTTCATTTCTGTTCTTCTCAGTCCACATGTAAACAGCATGTTCCTCTCAGATCTCAGGGTTTCTGTTTCCTTAGTGTGACAGTATTGTGTATTATGTTGCCTGGACTAAAGAGACCAGCCACACAGTAGTCCCTTCTGAAATCCTTTAGGAAGCATGCAAAGACACTGCTACTAATTTAAAAAAATGAATGTTGACTTTAGTCCAACATACAGACACATCCAACTCTTGATCTCTAGGAGGCTGTTTCTTTCTAGGTTAGTGCCTCTACCTTGTAGCCCCACTAAGTAAAATAAAGATGTTTGTCTATGTAATCACTCACTAAGCTCTATTTCTGTTAATTCCTGAGATGAAATCACAGTTTAAAAGTATTAACTGTAGGCCAGAACTATATGATACAGCTTCTCCACTCTTCGTCTTCTTGGTCTAAATGTCATGAGATGGGAAACATGGTTTTTGATTTATGCAAATTCCTTGTACTTTCTGTGCTGGAAAAATTCATTGTCCTGGTAGCCCAGGAAATAGGTAGATACAAAGGGCAAATGGAAGATAGATAGTGCCTCTCAAAAGACTGGTTATGTTTGGGCATTAAGAAGCTGATAGGTCATAAGTGGATGCTACGCTCTCATCTCTGGCGTGAGGGTGTCAGCTTAAGATAGCAATTCTCTTGATAACTGTGGTCTTCAGGACTTCCTCTAAAATAAGTGCCCTAAGAAAAGCAGGCGTTAAATCTCCCATCTATTTTCCATTCAAATACATGTTGAGAATACCCCAAGTATCTCTTATCACACCTCAAGTAAGGATATTTTTAAGCTTTTCTAAATTATCTGCACTATGCATTTTTTTTTTTTGCAAATATGCAGAGAGAGAATATCACAAAGACAATTCAAATCTCCTTCCTGTTTCATCTCTACCTTTCTTGGGGCAAAGGCAAATCCTGCAAATACAATTGCCTAAAAACCCATTTAGATTCATGTGCTCTGTCAATGCTCGCAGAGTATGTTTAAATACCTCCCACAGAAGATTTTAGCATACATTAAGAATGAAAATGGCTCAGTGATTCAGGCACATCTTTGTGAAGTGTTTTAAGGTCAGTAGTTTGTGAAAAAAAAAATAAATAAAATGGAATAGGTTTGCATGTTCAGTGTTATCTTTGAAAAGTACAAGGGTTATAAACATAGATTTTAACAGTTGAAACTTTACTGATTACTGTGGCAGGATTTTGGAGTACACCTGGAGCAGCTCAGCAGGGTATTAGATGTAAATATTTCACATTTGCTTACTGAAAGCTATAACATATTCAGAGGCCAGTAGTTCTTTTAGTTTTAACTAACTCTGAAAATCTAATGCATTTTTTAGCAAACAGGATAGGATTTATCTAGGTTTCAGCTTTATCCAAATTGAATTCAAGTATGCAAATGTGTCTCCGTATTAACCGTTTTAAAGTTACTGCCTTGAAACTCACACTGGCCTAAGTGAAGCAAAAAAACAGAACCACTATGTATTGGCTTTAGAGTACGCAGCTGCAGAGACAAGAGTGCAAGCTAAATTTATACAAGTCAAATGTTAATTATGTATGCATGATGTAGTGCAAATGGGCATCCACCTGCATGGAAATATATTAATAATACTTCATATTATTGCTAGAATTCATATGATGGAAATAGCATGTTTAGTTTACATATTTTCATATTTTACTTTTCATTATTAGTTAAGAAAAAAGATAAAAAATAAAAATTAAAAAATTCTACTGCACATATTATTGTTGTGCCATAAGTAGATTATTTAAACAGTAAGTAGCCTAATTTACTCCTTACAATCCCTCTTTGGAGCTGAGTTTCTTACTCAGCAATCCCTAGAAAGAGATCTATTGTCAGAAACATATGCTGGTTGGAGTGTTCTGGCTTTCTCAGCAAAGTGGTGTATCATACAATTAATTAAGCCTCTGGGTCATCCTAATATCAATGGGATTAGCTATTTAAAACAAGGCATGTGCCTAAGTAATTTGGTGAACTGAGGCCTAAAAGAAACAGGAGTCATGGAAATTACTGTGCGTGATTATGTCATTAAAAACAGTTTGCCACTGACTACACAGGAGTGGGCCGAGTTAAGGCCATCCAAGGATCCTTCGCATCCAAATGCTTTAGGTTTTCCTTTGTGTTGGGAGAAGTCAGGTCTTCAGATGTTTTTATGAAGTGTCATATGATGCCATATATATACATGTTATCACTCAAATAGGAATATCCTGAAAATTTCATCTACCTGCAATATAAACTCATATTATAATCCCAATATTATCTCAGTAATTATTGAAAGCCTAGTCCTGAGGATATCCATCAGCCAGGGCTTGCAGGATTAAGTCTTTCGACAGGGACAGCCATATGGCCATAATAATTTGAGCAACCTGGTCTAGCAGAAAGTGTCCTTGCTCATGGCAGGGGGGGTGGAACTGGATGAGCTTTAAGATTACTTCCAACCCAAACCATTCTATGATTAATGACACTTCTCAGATGCATTAAATGCACTTGTCTTGTCTTCATGTCTCAATGCACAGCCAAAGCATATTATCAGTCACCAAAACCACACAGGCCGCTATGCATTATAGTTTAATTAAACAACACAGGTAATTTCAAAGACTATTTCAAGTATAAACATGGCCTGGTATATAAGCTTTGTTAAATTTTAGGAAGAATGTACAAGTATTGAGAGGGAAATGAAATTGAAACCTGAGGAAAATAACTTATGCAAATACTAGTTCACCTTTTTGGGTTTTTATCTTCCAAATTTAGGTTGACATAATCATGAGCTAAAAGGAACAGTCCACCAAGCACAGGCTTTTTCCTCCTCCACCCCCAGCCATGATGAGTGTGAGGACACTGATTACAGAATTAATTATAAGCATCCATTTGCATCCTCTCCGGAGATATACAGTGGTCTAATGAATTGCTCTGACATATCTGAGCCAGAAGCCCACTTCAGCTACAAGGAGACTATCCCACTAATTTAGTCAGTCTTCAGCTTGCAACCATTTGCTGGGAAAGCTCTAGGTTTTCTAGTGAGGAAGTGTCACTGTGGTAAGTAAAAACCATTCTGCTGCATAGTACCAGCACACCACCTCTGAATTATTCTGTCTTAAACAACACCTATGGTCTGTGCTATCCTTTTAATAAGAAGCATATTTACTTTTATTCTTTGAGGTAGTGTAATAGGAAAGACTAGATGTCTCCCTTTTGCTAATACTTAGCAGTGATTTCAAAATGTGTGTTTTTGACTTGAAAGAAAGCAAAGTTATGTCAGACTGGAAAGCTTTTGAAAAGCCTCCTCCAAACGAGAAAAACTATGTAATTTTCCATTCTCTAAGCCACTCCTATGTTTAAGCCATACTGCACTTTTTTTTTCAGAGGATGCCTATAAAACTCAAGTCCGAATTGATGATGAACCAGCCTATTTGGACATTCTGGACACTGCCGGGCAGGTGAGTAGTTTCCCAATGTGAATCATTCAATCAGAGATAAAATCAGAGTTTAACCTCAGGTATATGGCTCACAAAGCTAGAAGCAATCTTTATTATTCAAACATTAAGGGAGCAGTGGCAGAATAACACTGAGGAATTAACAAAGGAAAAGATTAAAGGAGTTCTTCAGTCGTATGGTGTAACTTTAAAATATCACCAGAAAAGACAGAAAAATTTAATCAAGTAGAAGATAAAAAGCTGTTTGTTTCTTTTTCTCTGTATGCAGAAAGATCTGTCACTACCATGGAATGAACAAATACAGTTGTTGGTTTCCTGCTTTTGTATGTATTACAAGAATCTTCTGTTCTACTTGTAGATCAAGTTTTTTGTTACTATTCTTCTCCTTCCCACATTGTATTTAAGCATCAAATGCTTACCCATATGAAAAAGATTTTAGTGCTGAAAGTATAACACAGTGTACACATAGTATGTTTTTATGCATGTGTGAGCATCTGTCAGGGAATTAAGTTTCTCATCCAGTAAGGCAAAAGGAGGAGTTAAATGCAAGAACCTGACTCAGTTCATCCCCTTTCCATCTCAAGATGTATTTATTGTTTAACCAAAATGTTGCAGCTGGTTGACCTTTTCCCGGGGCACAGGTCAGGTTCTGTTTGAAGGATTTGATAGCTTCATGAGTTTCCATAGTATGTGTGCACCTTGTACTGGAATGAGTCAATCAGCAAGGACAGTAAATCCCTGAAACAAACAAACAAACAAAAAGATTTAGGAAGAATAAGCCTGGAAACCTTGATCTTAGGTTCCCCAAACATCTAAATGCACCTCAGCTGGGCACCACAAATGGTGGGAAATGCAGTGTGCTGCCAGGAATTAAAATGGCATCGGGTTGCATAAGTTTAGTGTAGTTCAGTGAGATTGTGGTGTGAGTTTTACATGGGAATGAAATATAGGCCAATTTCAAAGAGAACTCAACCCAGTTTCAGGAATCAAAAGATGCCCTGAATTATTCTTGCTTGACCCAAAATTTTACAGTCTCAGCAGTTAACCGCTGACTTGCTGCTGCGTCTCCTGTCAAAGTGTTTGATTCCCCAGAAAATTTAAGCTGAATTTCAAGGCATGTCTCCAAAGCTGTGAATTTAATTGACTTTGAATTTACTTTAGTCTTATTTTGTAGATTTATGTTAAAAAGTAAAATACTTTCTTATAAAGAGCTAAAGATAATTGGTGAATCAGAGTTTGTGTGTCCAGATTTTTGCTAATGGAAAGAGGAGCAAAATGTTATACAAGATTTCTTTTAATATGTGAAAAGCCAAAAAGAATAATACATTTTACTTTTTCTTTCTTTCCCATTTGTCTTTGTTACTAGAAAAATGAAGGTTTGTGTTGTTGAGAAATGAAAGATAGAATCAGGTATTGAAAATATATTTCTCTTCCAAATCCCCACCAAAATCAAAGCCTCCTTTTTATTAAATAGAACAAATATTTTTAAATTATGTTTTATTTTCTGTCAACATCTTTCAAAATGAAAATTCAAAAAAAAAAAAAAAAGCGTGATCTTCAATCTCTTTGAAAGGTTATTTTCTTTTTTATTCAAGAAAAGAAAAAAGTATCCATATGTACCAAACTTCTAAATAGCTGAAAATAAGTTTTCAAAATTAAACAAAGCTCATCTTTTGTCAACAATGTTCACTTTTTAGGAAAAATTCCCCACAAAACTGTACAAATTTTACATTATTTTTTTAAATTTCTGATTATACAAAAAAATAGAACAAACATCAACCATGGTTTAGAGGTGGACTTGGCAGTGCTGGTTAATGGTTGGACTCAATGATCTTAAAGGTCTTCTCCAACCTAACCAGTCCCATGATTCTGTGATTCTAGCTGCACTCCACAGCTCCAGAGTAAATCAAAACCTAACCCAACTCCCACTGAAAGCAACAGCTAAAACAGCCTCCTTCCTCACAGATGGTTTAAAGTTACTCTCTGTGAAGTTCAGACTGAAATCTTGCTGTGCCTGTGGTGACTCAGGATAAAAATCCCAAGCACCTGGTCATGCTGATGATGGTGTGCTCTGATGGTATCCTGCTGGGTTTCATGTTCAAGCAGAGATGGTGTTACAGCTTCTAAAGCATGTAGTGGTAATCTCATTTCTCTCTGGGTGGCCTCATGGTCATAAATACTTCACCATCAAATCTGAATAATGACTTTGATCACTTCAGAAGATCAAGGAGCTAAAATTGTATTTTGTCCCTACTAGGGAAAAAAAAGACGTCAATAGAGAAACAGACTGAAGTTAATGTATTTGCTTGTTTTAGAGAGTATGTTTCACCAAATATGCTTCTGCATTTCCTGCTCTACCTATGCACTGATTGAACACTTCAACATTGGCTAAATACCATGATTTAGTAAAAATTAATATAGATCATTACTGTCAATCCCAGTGTTAAAAACCCACGTCTAATTTCATACCTGAAACTGGATAAAAATCTTTGCTATTTTATCCCACAGATATAGTTTGGAGCACCAAAAACTTAAGTTGTTCTTCAGAAATATATTTCTGGTTCTCATCTTTCTGAAGTTAAAAAACATTCAAACAAAGTGAAAACCAGAAACATGAAAAAACTGTTAATATTGCTCATCTAGTTATTGACCTTCCTCTTCCCATGCATATACATAGACACTAATAAATACAACAGATTGCTCCTGTCAGGAGGCAGACTTATGTTTCAGGAGCTCTGGATACATATTTTCTACATCATCATTTCTCCTCTAGTTCTCTTCCAACATCGTTTTTCCACTGAAGATACAACAGGAGGCACATTCATAACATACGTAGGGCTAGTGCAAGGAGTTACACTTCACTGAACTCACTACCCCTGCTTTTCACCACCTGCCAGCAGGGTGGCCTGTCTTTGCTCACCACTATCAACTTCAGACAGAATAAGGTTACGTTTACCTCAGAGAGTTTTAAGAGCTGGTATCGCTGGTGTAGCTGCTTGTAGCAGAATGGTCATAAACAGCAGTTCCTACCATAAGGCTTGAAAATGTGGTGTGCAGCAAGAAATTGATAAAAAATTGATGTTTTCTCTTTGATTGGCACAACTGAATCTGAAAGATTCACTGTATCCTTAGCCTCGTATTTGCTGCTAGAAGCTATTAATGATATGCCTTTAGCTATTCTTTAACTAAAAGGTCTCTTATTAAATTAAAAGTTTTATTTTTGCATCTACACTTCAACTTAAACCAGAAATGTATTGGACGAGGGGCAATGGGTTCAAAGATAAACAGGGGAGAGAAGAAATTCTTCCCTATGAGGGTGGTGAGAGGAACTGTGGCTGCCCCATCCCTGTCAGTGTTCAAGCCCAGGTCAGATGGGGCTTGGAGCAACCTGGTCTAGTGTGAGGTGTCCCTGCCTGTGGCAGGGGGTTGGAACTGGATGGTCTTAAGGTTCCTTTCCAACCCAAACCACTCTGTGATTCTATGATTCTAAACAGCAAATAGAGAATAAATGTCAGATAGAGCTTCATGCTGAATTTTATTTAGTTAACCTTTAACCCTCTAGGTTAGCTACTATTTTTCATGTGGAGTAAATAATGAAACCTTAATGGAAATCTGCAAATGCAAATTACTATTAAGACAGCTTGAACTTATTTTTTCAACCACGCTCATGAGACATTTTTTGAGTTCCTCCTCATGGAGCATACACAGCAGTTATCTCTCCTGCTGTTATTTACAAACTGTTGACTGACACAGGAGGTTTTATTCTTGCCACAGTTTTCCTCCTGATGACACATTACCCAACCTCCTTGCTTAGACCTCACACTGAACTTTAAAAGAGCATCAGAGTTCCCTTCACTGGAAAAACAAATCTGAGACGACCTTATGTAGAAAAGGCTAAATTGTTTTCAGACAAGGAGGGAAATATGGAGGAAAAAGGATTTCTGTACCTGTCAGTGAGAGTACATTTCAAGATTATTGCACCCATTTTTGCTTGTTAAAATGTGAGCTTTTCATGATAAACTTAGTGCACCAGTATATTTCTCAGGTGTGAGTCAGAGACTTGAAGAATTGGACTTAGAATGTGATGGCAAGCCATTTCAGGGAGATTTTCCTTTGTCTGGAGCTGTGTGCACATGAATTCATTTCCAGGCAGACACTTTTCAACCTGACAATGGTGCAATCTGTAGCGAAATCCATCTCTCAGATTGCTAGCAAATCACAGGACATGTTTATCCTGCCAACCTCCAGGACTATGATTTTTGCCCTCTGCTTCAGGCTTTGAAGAGGAACTGTATTAGTCCCAAGAGCCCTTGAGATAAATACACTTTCTCAGACTAAACACTACAGTCCAATGACTCACTCAGCCTGTTAACTGAGATCCTTCTGCTTATTATCTAAACATGCTGCTCTAATCCTGAATCAATGGAACTGGAATTTCAAACTACACTACTGCAGCTTATCTCAAGGAAATTTAAAACGCCTATTTGTCAGTAATTATATTTTAATGGGCCTTTACAGCATGTTCTTCTAAGGGGAAAATAATTTCAGTGCACTTTCTGCTAGGTGCTGTAGTCAGTAAATGAAATCCTCTTTATTTCTAAAGCATAGTGGTAATGAACTAAGTACCAACCATTAACACAGTATATTAGGTGAAGAACATTAATTTCATTTTCTTCACATGTTGTTGTTTCACAGGCTGATGATGACATACTTAGTCAAACCATAGCACTGAAAATTTGGTGGGTTCTCAAGACAACTTGTTCTGCACTTTCTAGGAAGAACTAAAATCTTTCCCATGGCCAAGTCATTTTATTTGGGAATGGACGGATTTTGAAGAAACATTTATTCGGCACAGATAATTTAGTGAAAAAAATGTTCCAGTGAATAATAATGTTCCAGTGAATCATAGATGAAATTGCAGATGTGACTCCAATTTCCTTCTTATTACAGGCAACATATTCTTTGGCTTCAATGGGGAAAGTTCTAGGCACATCCTATCAAAA